TCAAACCTGGAGACCTCCATTATCACCGTCAACCATGGCTGGCAGGGTGGAGGGAGGGAGGTGGTGGGGGGGTGGATAAGGGGGTGGGGTAGTAGGTGGAAGCGAGGGGGATGGAACCTGGTGGGCGGGGTGGGTGGAACGCGTGCGGGGTCCATTTGTGACCAGTACAAAATTGGGTTGAAGATACGGGACTTCAAATTCACTGAAGGGCCGTCGTTGCCAGGTGGGTTCTGTGGCCCTCCAGGGCTTCCAGTGAATGTTGAGCCCCGTGTCCGATTCTGAAAAGATCTTATTCGGGTCCTGCCATATCTGGCGATAGTTGTCAATCATGGTTTGTCTGACTGTGTGGTCTTTCTGTTCCCAGAATCCTGTTTAAAGGATTTCCAGGCTTCTTGTGTGTGGGATCTAATGGTGTCTTCTATCGCCTGTTGAGCTTGCTGCAGCCCGAATCTATGATCTTTTCTTTCGAACGAGCATCTGGCTCTCCAGGCCATCATAATTGTTATTAATTTATTACTTTTTGAAAGTTTTAAAGTTAACGACTTTCAGGTTTGAACTCAAGTTTGGTAAGGAGTTCGGACATGACTGTGAGGCAAAAGTGGTTTGTATTGTCATTCTTCAGAACATACTTTTTTTTCAGATTTTTTTGATTTTGTTGTTTTACAGTCCGAAAATTTCCGGACCTGGTCACTGCTCCGGACCATCCGGAACCATGCATGCCCAGAGGTCCAGATGTGTGAGGAAGTCCGGACGTCCGGTTCCCGGACATGAGCTTCCCGGGTCCAGGTCCGGCGTAGCCATGAAAATTTCCTATGTTTTGCACTAGGTTGTGGCAAGTTGACAAAAATGGAGGCTCAGCAGGGTCTCACTCAGAGGTGTAGCATACACTGGAAATGAAGGAGGAGGAGGTGGAGGAGGGAGTGAACACGCACTACAGACACTCAAGCTCAGACTTCGACCCGGAATATGACTCAGATGATGGATGGACGATCCAAGAAGATTACCCGCAGAAAACTAAATGTCAAATTCTCATTCCAAAGCCTGAATCCAAGAATAACAGTACCAAATTGAGGGTCAGTCGTCCATAATGAAAGCAAACATGTGATTTTGTGAAGGGCCATGACAACATAGCAATTTGAACTTGAAGTGCAAACCCGGTCAGCACAGCAAATCAAAAGTGTGAAGGCAGGCCATTAAAAGCCAATTGGGCACCGCAATGCTGGGCATCGGTGAAAGCGGGCTCAACAGCAAATGTGTAATGGCGGGCAGAAAGTCGAGCCAGCAGCAATCCCAGCGAGCTGAGTGAAATTGTGGCAAGCTGGGCTCTTCCACACAGGTGTTCCCAGGCATGGCTGATATGGATGTGGAAGGGTGGAAAAAAGAGGACTCAGGGCTTGATATCAGTCA